TGGATAGTTGAGTATTTATAGCTGTGGGAACAGCTTTTGTCCTTTTCAGGAGATAGGGTGATGATGTTGATCAGTGTGTTTTTGTTGAGGATGTATTGTTGTGATAAGGGGGAGAGATTATCTGTCACTGTGATTAATGGGTGTCTTTAGCTGATCTTTTTCGTGCAATGATCCATGGTCCTTGTGGCTAGGTAGAGTTCATTGACCTTTTGCAAGCTGCATTTTTCAGTGCTGGGAGCCAGGCTTTGTTAAGTTTTAGACTTTCCTCTTTTTTGTTGAAGCTCTGCTGGTGTTTATGGATTCCAATGGCTTCCCTGTGCAGACTAAAACAACCGGAAAAATCAATAGTAGCTGAACATGCCCTAAAACAAGCTGGACATGAAATTCAAAATGCTGAAGTACTGGACAACACCAGTAATCATTATGTTAGACTGCACAGGGAAGCCATTGAATTCCATCAACACCAGCAGAACTTCAACAAAAAAGAGGAAAGTCTAAAACTTAACAAGGCCTGGTTCCCAGGACTGAAAAACACAGCCTGCAAATGGTCAATGAACTCTACCCAGCATTTCTGGGTGGTGAGTCTTTGGGGACAGCAAAGAACGGCCCAGGGACTACATGTGGTCCACCTTACTCTAGATCGTCAAGAGTTCCCAGCTGCTGGCAGAAGAAAGCCATCCCCTTCAGGAAGGGCTGAACCACCAAGAGAACCAGTGGGAATGGGCTTCTGGGGGGGCAGAGCCAGCAAAAGAGCTCACAGGCTGGACTGGAACCTCTGTGAGCCCTGTGATCTTTGCCCAAAAGCCACTCATGTGCACCCTCGAAAGCAGTTTTCAGCTGTCTTTCCATTCCAGTGGCCCATGCATACCTGGGCATGGAAGGGCCACTTTCTGCCTTGCTTTGATTCCTAGACATACACTTGAGAATCCATACTCATTTTTAACTAGCCCTTGAGCCATATGAAGTCTATCTTTTCTCTCCTGCCAGGATCCAAGCAGGAGGAAGGGCGTTCTTGCTTCTCCTGCCAACATCTTCCACGCATGGTTGCGAACCGTCAGCTCAGACCTGCAGCTGGCGATGTGCTAACTGTTTGGAAATCCATGTATCCCTCACTGGATGGCGTCTGAAGAAGGACTGAGAACTGTGAGTGCATTATAACTCCGCCAGAAATGTAGCTCAAAATGGAAAGATGGCACTCGTAGACAGAAGAGAAGAAGAAAAATGAGAAGAGAAGGGTATCCCATTGATTTAATAATAGCTGTGTGCTGTTAAGTTGATTCCAACCTCCAGCAAATCTTTCCAGGGTTTCCCAGGTAAAAAGTATTCAGAAGTGGCTTACCATTCCCTTCTTCTGGGATCATTCTGGGTCTCTGCAGCTTTCCCAGGGCTACACAGACTGGCTTTTCTTGCTGAAGGCCCAGTGGGGGAATTGAACTCTCAACCTCTAGCTCTGCAGCCAGAGACCTAAACCATTGAGCTATCCAGCTAGCCATCCCACTGGTTTAGGGCAGGGGAATTCCGAGTATCTAATGATTTCCGGAAAGAGGTCACCCAAAAGGGCGAAACCTCCTAGCTTCGGTTTCCTGCTCACCCTGTTGTTGGTGACAGTCAAAACCATATTGTAGGTCATAACAATAATTTCACTTCTTGCACAAAAAATAAAAATCCCCACACCTGCCTGGCGCAGCAAATGATTTTCCAAACATTATTATTATTTTTTGCCTGCAAATTTCCTGCTAAGGGAAAACAAACAGCTGGGGTTGCACGTTTGCAACCTCACTGGTGACGCATGCTGAATTTGCTTCTTCTCAGAGGAATTTGGCAACCCTCACCTTCGCTATCCGTGTTCGTGGCTGGACGTTTTCCCATTTCTCCCCTTTTAAACGAGAGATGCCTGTCTGAGTTCAGTTCCCTGCATTCAGAATGTACACAAAAACAAGTAGGGTTGGGGCTTACCAGAAAGACAGAGCATAAAACCCTGCTGGATCAGGCCCAGGGCTTATACAGTATTCCCCAGCATCCTGTTTCCAACTGTGGACTGCCAAATGGTTCAGACAAAGCAGAGAAAAACCCAACACACTTCCTACATTAAGGGTAGACAAACCTTTTTCCTATCAGTGGAAAAGTTGCTGGGGCAGGATATAGGAGTCTGCATGCAGAAACCTAGGAAGCCTTTTGCTCTTCTATCCTATCCAGAATTATTAGCTTTTACAGAAGCTTTTTAATTCATCCTCCCCCCCCAAAAGCAAGGAAATAGGGCATGGGGCTTCTATGAATTTCCTTTAAAAAAAAATGCTCCAGATTCAAGCAAGGAAATAGGGCACGGGGCTGCTATGAATTTCCTTTAAAAAAAATGCTCCAGATTCCAGAATAGCCCAGTCTGTCCAGTATCGCTGGATGCATCACAAAGCTTTTAGGCTGCTTTCACAATGGCTGGGATGGTGAAATCTGAACTTTGGCTCGCATTCTTGCTCCCCTTTGAATCACTGAACCCAACGGGGTTAGAAACGGGCAGCATTTCCCAAGCAGAGGGAGGGCATCGCATCCTGCTTTGGGTGGATGCCAGCCTGCAAAGGGGGCAATTAAAAGACACAACACAGACACGGATGGGGAAACACAGCAGGGTGTTGAAATGCCATTTTCCTTGGCCTGCTGGCTACTAATTTTGGCCAATTCTCTCTCTTTTTTAAAATCAACTCCTATTCCCCCCTTCCTATTGTAAAGGAGCAGCAGGATTTCCTATGTGGTTTGGCACGGCTGGATGGAAAAACCTCCCTTCCCTCGCCCAATTTGCTTAAAATAAAAGTGATTCCCAAGAGGAGACGGGAAGAACAGTTCCCAGATGCTGAAATGACTTTTCTTCCTATATTTATAATTTTATCCTGCCCTATGGTTGAAAAGCTTCTATGGTTCTTCCATGCACTTCAATTGTTCAAGCACAACCCTGTGAGGTAGGCTCAGGGATAGAGAGTGATTGATCCAAGGTCAGCTTTATGGCCAAAGGGGGTTTGGAATGGGATGTAATTCTAGCATTCTTGGTGAGAAACAGGGGATCTCTTGCTCCTCCAGTGTTTAGCAGGATCCACACCAAACACGGCAGTGAGTCTGTCCTGGGTTTGGAATGGGATGTAATTCTAGCATTTTTGGTGAGAAACAGGGGATCTCTTGCTCCCCCCAGTATTTAGCAGGATCCACACCAAACATGGCACTGAGTCTGTCCCGATTTGGGCACATCATGAAATGGCATGATTCTCTGGAAAAGACAATAAGGGTAGGAAAGGTGGAAGGCAGCAGGAAAAGAGGAAGAATGAATAGAAGATGGACTGACTACCTAAAAGAAGCCATAGGCTTGATTTTACAAGAGCTGAGCAGAGCTGTTGAGGACTGAACATTTTGGAGATGGCTCCTTCACAGGTCACTATAAGTTGGAGGCGACTTGATTGCACATAACAACACATCCCATCATTCACAGCCGTCATAAGCAATAATCAGGGTTAATGGGAGTTGTAGAACTCCTGGAGTGCCATAGACTCCTTAACTCTGTTTTGGCTGTTATACCACTTGATACTGTACATCATTAATCCTGAATAGTCATGATGAGCTTCGAATGCAGCAGCAGAATGGACAGAAATGGCTTGTAAGAAAACTTTTCCCTGTGTCCTCCTTGCGTACTTAAATTCCCATTTATGTTCTCTCTAGTAAAGAAAACCTCTCCCAGTTGTGCATGTTGAATACAGTCATGGTGGGGAGGGAAAGGGAAATTGGGGAAAAGAAAGATTAAAGTTGACCAGCATCTCAGAAATTATGTCTTTATGATAAAAAAAACATTCAAAAAAGGAAAACTTTTTTTAAAAAAAATTGGTATGTCCAATTTGGCAATTTTTCTAATTTTTAATGTATGTGGAATCTTGTTTTAGCTCACATGGAAAGCCCTCCAATGGACTTTGGCAAATAATTTTTAAAAAGCTTATTTTGAGGGTCAGCAAAAGCAGGGAGCGGCATTTTCAATCAGTTCTGGAGCTGGTATAGACCAAAGAAAGGTGCCAAGAGTATAAAGACGCTCGCTCCCGAAGAAGGCTTCCCCGAATCGCATTGAGCCAGAGCTTTTCAACTATTCATTTAAAGAATACAGAATAAAGAACTCAGTTCTGTTTTCTACATCCTGAGGCTTCGTCTCTCATTTATAATCTGGACTACCAGCTGGCTAGCTCAGTGGCTTAAGTCTGCAGAGCCAGAGGTTGGGAGTTTGATTCACCGTTGTGCCTTCTGATAAGTAGAGCCAGCCTGTGTAGCCTTGGTCAAACTGCACAGTTCCAGGATGCCCCAAGAAGAAGTGAATGGGAACTCTCTAGAAAATACTACATAAAGCTGACCTAAATCAGAACAGACTTGACAGCAGACACGGTTTCATAGTCTGGCTTGGAATAAGGCCACTTCCTGGTTCTTTTCATGCAATGGAGAAGCAGGGTTGTGCATTGAAGACATAAGACCGACCCTTAAGGTTCCCTCTCTCTCTCTACCGCATGCAAGCACTTCCACTGAATCCTGCTCACCTGTCTTCTCCCCGTTGCCTTTGCTCCTGCTGTTTTGGAGGGGCAGCACTTCCAGGGAGTTGATCCCCGAATTCTCAAGGATGTTCACCTCCACGCGTAGCTTCCCCACCAGCTGCTGGGGCCGGATGCTGACGGTGTACTGATACATCCCCAGTCGCCTCTGCAAGAGCTCCTCGTAGTGTAGGAGGAAAACCGCCTCGGCCTTCCGGGGGATCATGCCAGAGGCTCTGAAGGTCTCCACTCCATTCTCCCTGTTGGGAGAAGTCCGAGTGCGGTCAATGCATCACCTGCAGATGTTCCTCCATCTGCTGCATCCACAGCGGGAGCCCGTCGAGAGAACAAACCATTTTTTTCCTCGCTGTGGTAAAAGCCACTGGCAGGTAGGGGAGAGCGGGTAAGGGCCAAAGGACCTGCATGCAGGAAAGCTTCCCTTTGGACTACAACTCCCAGAATCCCCAGCAGCAGGGCTCTCTGGAGGTTCCAGCCATTGTGGTCTCCAAAGCATCACTTCCATGATCTGAGAAGGATCAGAAGCGGTTGTAGGCATGCCAGTGGCTTCATAGTCCCTCGAGGGCTTTGGCAGCCAAACACGTCTAAACAGATTTAAACCGGTTTCAGACCTGTATACCTGTCATGGTTTTTTCAAGAACTTCTTTCCTGTCACAGGGCAAAGGTCACGGAAAGAAGGCCCACAGACAACAGTTCCCATATTTCTCTGAAGGGAATCCGCGGGGAAAGTCGTTTTAATGAGCTTTACACTTGTCCTATTGAGCTGCTGCTGTCTCTTCCCCACCCACCCCCGAATCTGCCTGTCCTTGAACTTCTGGGTGAGATCAGATGGGGAAACAATTCTCTTGAAGCATGGTCCAAGGTGAGCTATTTCTTGGTGATCCTCGGAGAGGGGAATGAAACTGAACCACGATTCAGAAAAACCAACGAATCGGGCTGGTTGGTTGGTTGGTTCGCAGTTCGGTCCGTGACCTGGTTCACGGATCTCATTTTGCCCAAAATTTAAAAAAAAGCATTGAACTTCTCCCCCCGCTCTGTCATTTCGCTCCAGCAAAATGGGATGCTCACCCCAGCCCTTCCCATGGCCTCCATCACCACCCTATATGTTCCAGCCACTGCCATCATTCCTTCTCCACCACCATCCTCAGAGGCAGTGGGACCAGCTTCCCTGCCAGGAGCCGGCTGCTGGCTCTGTGCAGGTGTCCGCCTATCAAGCAAGTGGTGGGCTCCTGCTTAGAGGCAACAGCCAACTCCGGGAAGCCGTGGCATAGGGGGTGGGCGGGTGGCACAGGAGGCGTGGCCACAGCGGGACCCCCAGTCCAGGCACGAGCCGGAAAAACAGGCCATAAACTGGTTTGTTTTCTTGGAGGTTTGTGGTGACTCGTGGTTCATCGTTAGCCACAAACGAAGAACCACAAACTACTGCGAACTACCGGTTTTCTGGTTACTGCCCATCACTAGTTATGCATGGCAGATCAAGGATGAACGGACCCTGATCCGTGCCCAAGCTGGATCTGTTTGGTCCAGCGGCTGGTCTGCTCTTTGGCAGGGGAGGTTTTCAGCCTGGACTGATTTCTGCATGGACTGAAAAGCCACTTTAAATGAGACCTCTTCTGGTGCAATCATATTCCCCTCTCTCATCACACCCTCTGCCTCTTTTTCATTGCCTCTGTTTAAGGCTTGTTTTCATCTGTTCCTTCTCCTGCCTTCTGCTCTATGTCTCTCTTCTGCTTAATACAGAGAGTCAGAAGAATTGGCCTTTCCATGAAAGGACAGTGGAAGAAAGGGAAATCTAGGAGGTGTTCCTTACTCAATTTCATATTCCGTGCAGCACCATATTTATGAATTATTATTTATTTAGAATATTTATATGCCACCTTTCTCCTGAACAGTCCAAGACAGCTTATAGTCTTAAAAGAAACAAAGTTAAAAACCAAATAATAAATTATTATGATATTGAAAAAGGATTAAACACACGTCACATCAAAACCCACGATAAGAACAAGATTAGAAACACAAGTAAAACGCAGAATAAAATGATCCCTTAAAAAATAAAATCACCCTGGGTCAACCAGTCATTTAAAGGAACCTGCCTGAAGAGAAAGGTCTTGGCCTGCTTGCAGAAGGAGCGCAAAAATGGGGCCAGTCTGGCCTCCAGTGGGAGGGAGTTCCAAAGTCTGGGAGCAGCCATAGAGAAGGCCTTCTCTCATGAGCCCATCAGATGCACCTGTTGGGGCAGTGGGACCAAAAGAAAGACTTCTTCTGATTTTGAGGAACCTTTGCCAAATGTTTTATCTGCCTGCAGTCTTCCTGTGACCCCAGGCTCCTCTTGCCTCTATGTAATACCTTTGATTGTCACACTGTTCTCCTTGTCAATCCCATATTCCTAACGTTCACCCATTTTCTGCTGGTGCCCTGGACAGGCAACCAGTTATCCACACCTAATGACCCAAGAGGGGCTGAGGAAAGATCTGATTGGTTGACCGTAAGATGCAATACCTACCCGTCCTCTGTGGGGCGTGAGTATCGGTGCTTTCTTCCTATATCACCATGCGTCCGGTCTTTCCCGATAACTTCCCCATGGTAAACCCGATCACCAATAACCCTGGAGCCATGAAAGAGAGCAGATGAGGTTGTAGGACCTTTTGTTGCAGTCCGCAAAGCTAGACCTTCGCTGGATATATTGTCTGGACTCTGGGTCTCTCCCTGTCCCTCTCCCTGGATATACTGTCCCTTAGGTTTTATGTCCCAAAACCTGTTGGGGAAGGCCTAAAAGCATACTGACAAAAGAAAAACCTGAAGCCGAGGGTCAACCCAGACTATGCCCTTATCATATTTTTCTAAAAAGTGCTCCGTCAAGGGGTAAAAGATGTCTGTTTGTCACAGCGCATGGTTTCCCTTGTTTCGTCTATTCTGCTTTCCCTATCTGTTTTGTGATTGGTTGCTGGAAAGTCAACACGGGCTTAATTTGCAAATATGATCTCAGAGGCTTGTAGGTCTGTGGAAATCCCATTGCAGGATGAAAAACAAGCTAAACCTACTTCCTCCTTAATGTCTAGTTTGACCCTTAGCCACTTGCACCTTTTTTTTTTTTTGGCAGCTCCACGTTACTCTCACCTACATGGTAAAATTGGAAATAAAGGCTGTGACAGGGATCTGCATTTCAAAGATGCCTTCTCTGGCTTCTGAGCCGCTGTTCACCAAAGTGCAAGAGACGGTGGTAAAAGCGTAGCGAGAAATGACGGTGGCTCTCACGGAGAATTCAGACATCCGGGGCCGGGTTTCCTGTCGGGAAGAAAGCAGCCATTCCTTAATGGCAGGGCATGTTAATACACCACGAGCAATCCATTACAGCCTGCTGAACGCTTCTCTCAACCCTGAACGGATAGGACTTCTGCCAAGGAAACACCTGCACAAGGAGCCCCTCGGCAAAGGTGTGTTAAAACCAACACTTAGCAGGAAAGGAACATTTGTGCAAGGTGGGGTTTTGCTGTGCTGTTTCCAGCTCATCCCTCATAGGTAAAACCAGGACAAAGCACCTTGAAAGGATCACAGAACCAGCAGCCTTCAGCCGACTACTATCCTATTACTATGGCTATTGTTGCTGTTGTTTAGTCATGTCCGACTCTTTGTGACCCCATGGATCAGAGCATGCCAGGCCCTCCTGTCTTCCACTGCCTCCCGGAGTTGAATCAAATTCATGTTGGTTGCTTCGATGCCCCTGTCCAACCATCTCATCCTCTGTTGTCCCCTTCTCCTCTTACCCTCACACTTTCCCAACATCAAGGTCTTTTCCAAGGAGTCTTCTCTTCTCATGAGATGGCCAAAGTATTGGAGCCTCAGCTTCAGGATCTGTCCTTCCAGTGAGCACTCAGGGTTGATTTCCTTTAGAATGGATAGGTTTGTTCTCCTTGCAGTTCAGGAGAGTCTCCTCCAGCACCACATATAGGCTGGGGCAAATGGGATCTGGAGTCCACCCAAGAGTTAGAGCTTTTCTAACCCAATTCTAGATCATTAGAAGAAGGGCTTGAAACTACTTAGCTCCAGAGAGCATTGTCAAGACTGTGAACGTTTAGAAACTTTTAAAAAAACCTGATAATCAAGGGCCGCTCCCATCACTTCCCCGGAATGGAAGGGGTGCGTGAGTCCAGGCATGCATAGAGGGGGCTTAGGTCCCGTTCCAGATCTACTCAACACACTTTGTGAAGTCTTTTTCACCAGACGGAGCTGACAGGAACAGATGACTTCCGCGCACCTGTTGTTACGTGCTGTTAATTGAGAGTTACGGTGACTTTCTGAATGAATGACATCCAAAAGGTCCTGTCATGAACAGGATAGATCATTGCAAACACAAGGGTGTGGCTTCCTTTATTGAGTTAATCCATCTTCTATTTGGATTTCTTCTTTCTCTGCGGCCTTCACCTCTTTCCAACATGATTCTCTTTTCCAGTGAGTGTCGCTTTCTCATGATATGCCCCAAATTTAGTCTCCGCTTATTTGTTTTTAATTCTAGAAGACAGAACAGGCTTGAGCATACATCATCATGATTCAAAAATGCAGGACACAATCTTTGACTGATATTACATGATGCAAGTTTTAACCAAAAAGGTATCAGTTAAATGCCCATGCAATATATACGCTGTTCCTAATACTGCCATTTTTTTTTTGCAGCTCTGACGGTGTTATTTCAGAGATTTGCAGCTGATTATAATATTTTATAAAACCCCATGGCATTGCTCTCCATGACTATGGTGACCATTGAAATGTGTTTCATCCACCAGAGAGTTATTTCTATTTCCAAGTCTCTTTATTTTGTAATTTTCCCCCAATTTTTTATCTTCAACGCTGGCATCGCCTGGAGTTATCCAGACATTTCTTCGTTCTATTACTACTATGTCTGATGTACTGTACTCAAGATTCTTCTCCTTCCTTCCTTCCTTCCTTCCTTCCTTGCTTGCTTGCTTGCTTGCTTGCTTGCTTGCTTGCTTGCTTGCTTGCTTGCTTGCTTGCTTGCTTGCTTGCTTGCTTGCTTGCTTGCTTGCTTGCTTGCTTGCTTGCTTGCTTGCTTGCTTGCTTGCTTGCTTGCTTGCTTGCTTGCTTGCTTGCTTGCTTGCTTGCTTGCTTGCTTGCTTGCTTGCTTGCTTGCTTGCTTGCTTGCTTGCTTGCTTGCTTGCTTGCTTGCTTGCTTGCTTGCTTGCTTGCTTGCTTGCTTGCTTGCTTGCTTGCTTGCTTGCTTGCTTGCTTGCTTGCTTGCTTGCTTGCTTGCTTGCTTGCTTGCTTGCTTGCTTGCTTGCTTGCTTGCTTGCTTGCTTGCTTGCTTGCTTGCTTGCTTGCTTGCTTGCTTGCTTGCTTGCTTGCTTGCTTGCTTGCTTGCTTGCTTGCTTGCTTGCTTGCTTGCTTGCTTGCTTGCTTGCTTGCTTGCTTGCTTGCTTGCTTGCTACTAAAGTGTGGTGCTTATATAGCACTTCAAGCACTCTCTGCACAGTTTTACAGTTTAATTCCCCAGGCTACCTATTGGCCCTCCCGGTGAGAATTTGACCATAAACAAGGCTGACCGCCGAAGAATTGATGCTTTTGAATTGTGATGCTGGAGGAGACTCTTGAGAGTCCCCTGGACCTCAAGGAGATCCAACCTATCCATTCTAAAGGAAATCATGCCTGAGTGCTCACTGGAAGGACAGATCCTGAAGCGGAGGCTCCAATACTTGGGCCATCTCATGAGAAGAGAAGACTCCCTGGAAAAGACCCTGATGTTGGGAAAGTGTGAGGACAAGAGGAGAAGGGGATGACAGAGGACGAGATGGATGGACAGTGTCATTGAAGCGACCAACATGAATTTGACCCAACTCCGGGAGGCAGCAGAAGCCGGGAGGGCCTGGCGTGCTCTGGTTCATGGGGTCACGAAGAGTTGGATGCGACTTAAGGACTAAACAACAACAAGTGGATGACATGGCATGACTCAACTTCCAGATAACCTGACCTAGATGACTGAGAATCTTCACAGATAAGCTTTTAAAGACGTTTTAAAATGTGGAGAACTCTCCTTCCCTCCTTCGTGTCTTCCCTGGACCTCACCCCCTCCCAAGAATTAGCATTTAACATTTTGTTCTTTGGAAAACATTTGTTTATCTGTTGTATTTTTAGTACACTCCTACTTGCTTTTGTGTGGGACTGTGGGGTGGCGTGGAGATAAAAGAGCTGCCGGAAATATTTCCTGCTTTGAGATTCCTCTTCTTTTTTTCTCCCTTAATGAGCCCAGAAGATTGCTAACCACCTCTTTGGGGAAATAATAATAACAAACATCCAGTTCACTACCTACCAGTCTCTGCAGCACCCTGCTTTGTCGTGGAACTCGGCGAGCGACCTAGAAAAGAACGGATGCCATTAGATAGCATATTAATTCATGTAGTTATTTATTTTGCTTTGAACTGGGTCTTTCAACATGAAGATGGGCATATTACCAACCAGCCAAGACTCTTCCTTGGATACAAAAGGGTTGTTTGTGTACATTAACAGCTTTCCCATGCTGCTGATGACAGGGTTTGGAGCATTTTAGAACAAGCCCGTAACATTAAAATGCAGCAACAATCCCAAACAAGAAAACAACAAAAATAGCCATGGCTATTTGGGAAGATAAAACTACGCAGAAAGATAAACAGCATCGACTAAAACCGGAATTGGTATTCACTCTGTAATATACCCTACATACCTTGCAGACAGAGGGTAGAAACGGTGTACATTTTATGTCTATCATTATTGCTTATGTGGATAATGTCATTCTAGAGTCCAGTCACTAGGGGGCACTGTGGGGAGTTGCATATATCCCAGATGGAGTCTCATTACACGGACACAGGCTTTGGACAAATGTGCAAATATGAACCACATCAATAAGAATTTGTGTGTTACCAGAAAAACATGGGACGAAGCAAAGAGCCACTGGTCACCCAGAGCAAGACTCCCATGGATCCCTCATGTTAAATGCAGCATTGATGCATCATGATTAGAAGTAGGGGAAACAAAAGAAAAGCTAAGGAACACACAGAAAACTATGTTCTTTGCCTTAGAAATTAGCTTTACTTGTCTTTGCTGGAGTTATTTCAACCTTGCATACTGCCTTTAAGAGGTTTGATTGGGGAAGGACTTTTCTGGGCTTTGATTGACGGTCAATCAATCCAGGAGTAACCAATGGTTCTTCCCTCTCTGGTTTCAAAGAAAGCCCCACCTCTCTGCATAAGTCTCTTTCCCCCTCTCTTTTTAGTCTACTGGCAGTTAGTGTGCAGTTATGGAGTTTGTGTAGTTATGTGAGTGTCGTCTGCAGGAGTCTGCTGGAAACAGGCTGTGAGTCAGTTGAGGCCTGTTGCTGCATAGTAGTCATGTTTGTACAGTATGCTGTTTCTTATCTACTCAACTGTGAGTAAATGAAACCTTTTATTCTTTCTCTTACCAATGCCTCAGAATGAATTATCGAGACTGTAAGTGCCAGTGGATGAGACAAAAGAGGTGGTCTACTCAGGAGAGTGATGCTATTGTTAGCCGCCTAGAGTGGTCGCAAGACCAGATAGGTGGGGTACAAATAAATGCTGATTCTGCTATGTAAGCCACTACCTTTCTGCTGCAAGCTAGAGTTGTTTTTTTTAGCTAAAAACCAAAACTCTGCAATACTCTTTATTTTTTTATTTGTTTCATTTCTATGCCACCGTTCTCCCTATAATGGGACCCAAGGTGGCTCACAATAATAAAAGGAATAGTTAAAAACATAAGGAATTAAATGTTTTTAAAAAAACATTAAACTATATGCAAATCAAAATATACAACTGAATAATTAAAAGCAAGTGAACATTAAAAGCAATCTGACTCTAAGAAGGCATTCAGGGGCACGGTTATGATGGTTTTTCAGCTGTTGGTGGTGGAGGGGGCCAGCCTGACATTCTGAGGAAGAGCATTCCATTCCTGGGAGCTGCCACCGAGAAGGCCCTCCCTCGTGTGTCCCCATCAGATGTCCCTGCGCTGGCAATGGGACCGAGAGGAGGGCCTCCTCCGAGGATCTGCAATGGGACCGAGAGGAGGGCCTCCTCTGAGGATCTTACAGGTAAATGCCGAGAAGACTCATATGGGGAGGTGCAGTCCTTCTGAAAGCCTGGACCCAAGCTGTAGAGTCTTTCCTGCTCATCAAATAATCAAAGTCTTTGTTACAGAAGCCTCAGGGGTGGTTCTTCCTTTTAATCCCATACATATTTAGAACTGGAATCATTCACGGCGAGAGGAGGGCCTCCTCTGAGGATCT